TTATCTCACCAAACATCATCTAGAATTTTTTGCCTGACAAATTGTATTTTTCCAACATGACTCTCTTTATATAAATTCCAACTATCACTAAATCGATAAGCCCATATTTATTTCCTTAAAGTAATACAGCATGATAACTACCAAAATAAAATGAGTATTGACAATTACAAACATCTTCAACCTTACATGATCATTGAACATTGTCAATCTCATAGATCAGTTTCTTATAAAATTCCTTGTCATAATAGCATATATGGTAATTTCGGTAATCCATCCTTATTCTTCACATACTATCTCATTTAGTTCGATGTTCTTTGTCTCACAAATAATTTTGAACACAAGATTTAGTGTACATAGAGACCAAAAAATATGTAAACATCTTGTCCCCATGATGATGATATATGATCATCTGATAGAGATTTCGTGAAAATTATTTAATAGAGATTTACAAAGTGAGCAATATAATGATAATGCTCCTCTTTGCGGATATGTTACAGAACTTAAAAATCATCGGGAGGTAGAGGAAAATGGAAATGACAATGTAACTGTTGTCATGAAATTTTAGGAGCTCTCATTCTTGAGTGAAGGGTCATCTATTAAGGATTCCATTACTTGAAATTAAGGGTTGCAAAAGTATGAAAAAACAAAAATATTGTTGAGATGAAGAGAGTGTTCGGTCAATAGAGTCTAGATTAAAGTCGAGGAAGGCTAAGCATGTTTTATTATCTATATCAACAACATGCACAACTAAAATTAAAGAAGAGAATAAGCAAGGGTGGACACCCTATAAAACAATCTTTTAATTGTGGAGTGGTAGAACCATTTTTAATCATGGAACACACATTTATATACATGGTCTAATTGCACCATGTTTTATGTAGTTGGTTTATGAGAGAAGAATGAGTTTTTTTGGGATTTGTTTCTTTAAAGGAAAAAGAAAAATAAAATAGGAAAGAGGGAGAGAGGACAAAAGATAATTGCAAGAAAATAAAGAAATAAAACCAAAGTAAAGAGGAAAATAAATAGAGACAAAGAACTAAAAAGACTAGAATTAAGTGCACAAATCGAAGGAAATAGAGAATGAAAGCAAAGAGAACAAGCTAAATAAACTAAGGACAAGGAAAATTAAAGACAAAAAAGAGAGTAATAAACTAACAATTAGGATTGATTTGACTAGACAACTTATTATTAGATCTAAAAATTACTTTTTTTTATCATTTTTACTTTTAGAATTAACAAGCATGAACTATCAATCTAATTAAAGAAAGCGTAGTCTCTATCAAATCAAAATTCTAAAAGTAAAAATCTAGATTTCGTGAATAGAAATAATCAAATTAAAAAGCAATTCTAGAGTAATAAAGGATGCACAAGTTATCAATATTTAAAAAAAGTATAACCTATCAATTTTATATTATTCTACCGATCACTAATTAATTTGATTATTTTAGCAGGAATAGTTAAAGCATAAAAGAGAGCAATTCTTAATCTAATAAATAAATTATTAGAGCTTCATCTAATCCTAATTAGCCTAAGAAATTTAGCTACTCATATTAATTCATCAATTATTAGCAAATAAAAAAGTATGAATAAAAGCAAGAAATTAAACTTATTAAGAAAAAAACAAAGAAAACTAACTAACTAAAGCATGAAATTAAATCTACCCTAAAACATGATAAAAAGCAAGAATTGAAAAGGCAAAAATAAAAACTCACATTAAAAGGGTTGACCCCTCTTGTAGACTCAAAAATTCTTTAAGTCTTCATCATGAAATAGAAGAAGAATTTTAGAGAGGAATTTTTTATTTTATTATGAAAATTGAAGTCTTTACAAATTTGGAAGGCCACAAAAATAGTAGCCCTCCTTCCCAAAATGGGTTACAAAATCTTTCATGCTCTCACCTCACTCTATCCTCCTATTTCAGGAATCTCTTACAATTATTAGATCAAACTTCCTCTTTAAGAAAATCGAAATCAGTCATTGATCAATTTTGTTATATACTCATTGATGGGCTCATCAATGAGTTCATAACATATTCGAGACAATGGGTTGATTTGTTGACTTTTCTTCATATTGGATCCTCAGACTTCACTAAGGCTTTACTAGAGCTTCAATCGGTGTCTTTTGGGCTTCTCTTGAGCTTGAAATAATCTTTATTTTGAGTTCCTCTTTATTCAAACTTTATTTCCTGAAAATTCATAAAAAAATACTTTAGTCACAATTAAAATTATTCAAAAATTATGGGTAATGAAGGTATGGAATTGTAATAAAAAGTATTAATCAGTTTACTATTTAATTTAGCAAGAAGTCATAATTTGTGTTGTGCAATCTTATAGATATGTCGCAAACAATGCTCTTAGAACTTATGATGCTCTTGGTGTCAATCTTGTAAGAACAAGTCTCTTCCAAACAGATATATTACAAATTGAAAACTTGTTAGAGTTATGGAGAACACATAGAAAGAGAATGGTGTCTATGTCATAAGTGATGGTTGCAAACAAGGTGCATCATTAACGTTCTTGTGCTGACCATAGGTAGAACGATGTTCTTGGATGCCATCAATGTAGAAGAGAATATTAAGAATATGGAGTATATTGCAATTGCAAAGCTTATAAAAGCTTTTGAAGAATGTTGGTCCTCAAAATATTATGGAAGTTATACTGATAATGCACTGCTTAGCAAATCCGCGGAGGTATTTAGGACACAATATGTCCTCATATTTTTTGGACTTCATCTATGATTCATACTCTAGATCTTGTGTTTAGAAATATTTTGTGCGACGAAGAATACCAAAGGAATGAGATAATCTATGAAGAATGTTAGATAATTGAAATTATCGAAGATGTTGTGGTGATAAGGAATTTCATACCGAATCACTCTAGGGGATTAGCAATGTTCAATAATCATGTGAGATTAAAGACTCTATTGCCGATACTCGTTTTGAATCAATAGTTATCATGTTGTGGTTCTTTAAGAAATAAAGTGTGTTAATTCTTATCGATTTGGTGATTCTTGAGAGTTAGAGTATATCACTGCTTTTTCCGAGTATA